AGCAGCCAGCTGTTTTGAGTGACATGTGGAGGCCTGGGAGGCAGGGGGCCTGTTTTAAGATCCTGCGGGGCCATGGGATGTTGACAGCCCAGAGGATTGTGGCGACCTGGTTCTGAAGGTTTGGTAGGTTGATCCAGTTGGCAGACTGTATTTTGCCTGCCCCTGATGTAAAGAGATCTGAAGAAGAGCTCTTTGTAAGCTCAAAATCCTCTTTCTTTCATCAACAGAAGTTGGTCTAATAAATGATACTACAGGTTGGACTTCCCTGGTCCGGCACCCTCAGGATCTGACTGGTCCTGGATGATGGATTTTGCCAGACCAGGGAAGGTCATTTTTGGATCCCTGCCACCGGTCCCTCTGGCCTGGCTGCTGGCCTCCCAGCCGGCTCCCCACCTTCTAGTGGCCCTGCCGACCCACTGAGCAGCCATCACTGCCGTGGCTCAGCCAGGCAGCCCGGCGGTGGAGCTCCAGGTAGCTGTGCATGCCAGGGCTCCATGAGCAGCTCTGGGGAGCCCCGACTTCGCTGGGCAGCCTTGCTGCCATGTGCTGGATGGCTCCGCAGTCAGCTTCCTGTACGTATCCCACTGTCCTGCCTGCCCCGCAGCAATCTGGCCCTCCACCAGGACTCTCTGGTTGTACAACATCCATGCCAACCTGTAACTCTCCTATTTTGTTTCTCTAATATCCTGGGACCAACATGACTACAACAACATTGCATTCATTGATATTCTTTTTTAAATGTATTACATTGTCCTTCAAACTTAGTGGAAATATTATACACCTCAATTTAAAAGTGATTTTTAATCATTTATATTCTTTCCCTCAAAAATTATCTTTGAAACAAGTTCTCAATAAGAACTAGCCACCTAAGTGGAGTTTAACTATTTTAAATGGTTTGTTCAAAAGTAAACAATCATTAAATAGCAGAAAGACACATATATTTTCATCCTAATTTACTAAAAGAAAGTCAAACTTTCAAAAAAATGCCTTTGAATGAGATAGTGTCATGAATTTCAGTTGAAAGAAAAATTTCTGAATGTTATGAGCATACATTGGAAGTCTCAATGAAAGCAGGGAAAGAAAAACTATAGTACTGGCTGTACCATTTGTATGTATTTAGGTTATATACACAGATTCATAGTCAAAACATACTAGATATTTTTCTATGAATAACCATTTTTAAACTATAATGCAAAAACAGTATATAAGGAAAAGGTGTAGCATGGAGCTCTGACAGCTTACACAACAGGTTGTAATTGCTCTGGTCAATAGTGTGATGTCAATATGGTGTTGTCATAATCTCACTTTAGCTACACCAAGATTGTAGCTAAAATGAGATTTTGTATTCTCAATGTCTAATCATTGCACTCAGATTTAGACTCCAAACTTAGGCCCATATCATGTAAAGATTTTATGCCCATAGCTAACCTTATGCATACTGAGTAGTCCCACTGACTTGAATATTGATATACTTTGTATATCAAGGTATATCAGTACTGAAAGTATATCAATATTCAAGTCAATGGGACTACTCAGATTGCGTAAGATAAACTATGGGCATAAAATCAAGATCAATATCAGGGCCATAGGAGAATTCTGGGACAATCTGAAGCTGATTTTAATAAATTTGACAGCATCTCTTCAACAAGGCCAGAAGCATAATAATTTGTTTCATGTTGAAGGGCCTATTCAGCTGGTAAAGCAGAATCCAAACCATACATTTATTTATCTTTGATCTAGTTTTCTCAAATAGAAGATCTTGAAAACTAAATGTATGGTGGTATATCTTTCAAAACTGATTAAAATAATTAATACCAACATAACTGATTCAGCTATAAGTTTTTGAGGGTGAGTTCCTTAAAACCAATGCAAATACTGATAAATAATAAATCAGTTACAATAGATATTTTTATATATCTGATATATACTAATGTACTACTTCAATTTGCTACATTATTTCATATAAAGGCAGAAATGTCATTTGAAACTTTTAGAAAAATAAACACTTCCTGAAATTTTCTCTTTTTGGCTTTTTTTTGTCTCTCTTTAACATAGCATTTCAATCTATAAGACAGAAATACAGTCATTCACTAGTAGCTCACTATATATCAAATTTAAGCTAACTAGTGAATTTTACATTTAAAAATATTTTAATTATTATTTATAACTCAACAGATCCACACAAATAGAAACCAGTGGAAGGTGTCTTGATTTCTTAACTACTTCAGTTAATCTCAATTGTGGTATTGAATCAAATATTGTACAATTACAATGATTTAAATATCAAAATTGTTAACTACTTATCTGCTGATCACAGCATATAAGAAAGGAAAGGGGGGGATCATATTATGAAGATCTGTGCAATGTGTGCACAGTGAGTGATGTTTTTGGTGTCACAAATGAGAGGCATTTTGGAAAGTATCATCACTCCAGCCATCTGACCAGTGAAGCTAAAGGTCAGAAGGAAGAACAGAGCCTGGAGTGGGAGGCTTGGAGGCCTGCCAAAGGAAAGCCAATCCCCAAATCCTCACGTTGAGCAGCCCAGGTCTCCCTAGATCAGCTGGAGCCTGGTTTATAGTGGGTGGTGAATGTCAGACAAAACAGCTTCTTCTCTGGATACAATGGATTCCTTAGTTGGATGCTGTCTGCAGACTCAGATGCACATTATAGCATTAATTACTCTTGGTGTGTCCACAACCATTATGGTTAGAGGCTTTTATTTAAAATGAATGTTGGGATTCTGCCATTATCACAGGGTCTTAGATCAGTGGTGGGCAAATACCGGGCCATGAGCTGGATCCGGTTTGCCAGGGTTAGTACCTGGCAGGCCAATGCTGCAATATTTACCTGTGCTTCTGCAGGTACTAGCCATTGCAGCTCTCACTGGCCGCAGATCACAGTTCCTGTCCAATGGGAGCAGTGGGAAGCAGCATTCCGATCTGCGGGGCTTCCTGCAGCTCCCATTGGCTAGGAATGGCGATCCACAGCCAACAGAAACTGCAATCGCCTGTATCTGAGGAAGTACAGGTAAATACAGAGCATGTATGATCAGCTTTGAACACATGCACAATCTGTTGTGTGGCATCTTATTATTTCCTTGGGTTGTGAGTGGAGTTTGGGGGGGTTCTTCTCTCTCCCAATTTGAGCCCTGTCTTGCCCAACTTGTCCTTCTATGTATGTTCCATACTAAACCTCCAACTTCAATGAAAAATCTTCTGTACCTCTCTCCAGATTTACTCTCTT